TCTTTAAGAAGTCTTTGCCTGCCCCAAGATTATGAAAATGTTTTTTTCTAAGTTATCTTCTAAAACCTTTCTTATTTTTAAACTTAGCTTTATAAAATGCTTGGAGTTGCTATGTGAATATGGTGTAGAGTACAAGCTAAAGTTCATTTTTGTTCTATATAAATATCCAGCTGACCCAAGATTATTCACTAAAAAGAGAGTCCATTTTTCATTGCTCTGGGGTGCCACCTTTGTGATGCATCAAGAAAAAAATTATCTCTTGGAACTCCAGTTATATATTTTAAAAATATTCTGTATATCTTTTATGGTGTTTTCTGTAATTTCTGCCCACTGTGTTTGTGTCCTTCATTTATTTTCTTCTGAGTTATCTTCTGCCTTATTATTTCTCTCTTCAGCTGTGTCTAATCTGCTATTAAACTTACTCATTGGGATTATTTCTGTTATTATATTTTTTATTGCTACTTTCCATTTGGTTCTCCTTTACATTTTCAACTTCCCTGACCAAATTCTCTAACTTGTTATACAAATCCTTTCACATATCAGCTATTTAACAACCATATTTTATGTGTCCATTATCTGGATGTCTGTGGGTTTACTTCTGTTGTTCACAGCTTCTCTTGATTTTTGGCTACAAAGTTTTTGATTGAGTGCTAGATATTGATAGTGAGGAACTGTAGAGATCTTTTGACCCTCCTACAGAGAGAACAGAGCTTTATTTCTAGCACTCTAGGGGCATCAGCATCTCAGTTCGATGAGCAATCGAGGTAACACAAAAATTGGCTTCAGTTTCTTTGGAGGTGATCTATTTCCAGTTCATCCACCCTAACTCTTAAGATGTAGCTTTTCAGGCACTTCTTAACCCAAAGAATGGGGACTGGTTTACAAATGTTCCTCCTTTGTGATGTGCTTTGACCTTCACTGTTTCTATTTTATATTTTAGTTTCTTTTTGGTTGCACTGGGTCTTCACTGCTTTGTGAGGGCTTTCTCCATTTGCTGGTGAGTGGGGTCTATCTTGTCGTGCAAGGGCTTCTCATCGAGGTGGCTTCTCTTGCTGTGGAGCACAGGCGCTGGGTGCTTGCGCATTAGTGGTTGTAGCACCCGGGCTCAATAGTTGCGGCTCAATGACTGTAGGGTGCATGGGCTTCGGTAGTTGTGGTGCACAGGCTTAGCTGCTCTGAGGCATGTGGAATCTTCTTGCCCCAGGGATTGAACCCATGTCCCCTGCATTGGCAGGTAGATTCTCTATCAGTTTTGCCACCAGGGATGTCCTCCTTGTTTATTTTAAAAAAAAATTTGGCTTCGCTGGGTCTTCCTTGCTGGCTCTTCTCTAGTTGCAGCATGCTGGCTTCTCTCGTTGTGGAGCACACTCTAGAGCATGCAAACTCAGTAGCTGTGGTACACTTAGTTGCACTGTGGCATGTGGGATCTTAGTTCCCTGACCAGGGATTGAACCCAGGTCCTCTGTATTGGAAGGTGGATTTTAACTCCTGGACCACCAGGGAAGTCCTGACCTTCATTGTTTGCCCCTTATTCTCCCAGCTCTATGAGACTGTTAAAGTGCTATTTATTTTCTCTCTTGACTCTAGTCTTGAATCAGCAGGTACCTACTGGGGAGAGTGGGCCTCAATGCTTGTTTTTGATCTTTGAGCTTCCTTCCTCTGAGCTCCATAATTACCCATGGCATAACTTGGTAATTCTCTGATAATGTCAAATAGATTTAAAATATATTATGTATAATATTTCTAATTTTCCTCATCTAATCTAATTTTTTGTGGAAGCTTCTATGATCCTAATGGTATTTTTTGCCACATGAGTGTTTAAAATTTTATGTACACCTAAGTATTTAATTTTTTGACTGAGCTTCATGCCATGCCTATATGAATTATTTCCACTCCAGGCTATAAATATGTACCTAATTTTCTGGTTTGTTATGGATTCATTAAAAATATACTTAATTTCATGTGGAATTTATTTTGGAATAAAGGAGGAGGTGGACTTTGAGTTTTAAAAATTAACACCATGAGTGACACTATATTTTCCCCACTGATCAGTAATACCCCTTGTTGTTCAGTTGCTCAGCCATGTACGACACTTTGTGAGCCCATGGACTGCAGCACACCAGGCTTCTCTGTCCTTCACCATCTCCTGGAATTTGCTTGAATTCATGTCCATTGAGTCGATGATGCCATCCAACCATCTCATCCTCTGTTGGTCCCTTCTTCTCCTGCCCTCAGTCTTTCCCAGGAAATCAATTTGAAGAGTTTTCTTTAGAATTGGGAAGTTCTGTCTTATTCCAGAAGTCATACTCAATACGATTGGTTGGAATTGTTAGTGAGATACTTCAGCTCATCTCAGAAAGAATATACTAATAACCAGTCCCTTGGACTGCAAGGAGATCAAAACAGTCGATCCTAAAGGAAATCAATCCTGAATATACTTTGGGAGGACTGATGCTGAAGCTGAAGTTCCCATATATTGGCTACCTGATGCTGGGAAAGATTGAAGGCAGGAGGAGAAGGGGATGACAGAGGACGAGATGACTGGTTGGCATCACCTGTGTTTGAGCAAGCTCCAGGAGATAGTGAAGGACAGGGAAGCTTAGCATTCTGCAGTCCATGGGGTTGCAAAGAGTCAAACATGACTGAGCAACTAAACAGCAACAACAAATCTGTCCAAAGTCCAAGTTGCTTCATGAGAGAGTAAACTCTTTGAATCAGGCTATATACAACAAAGTTTGGTTTGTCATCTGTTAGGGATATTAGAAAAGATATCTTAAAATTTAGTGGGAAGGCAATTTTACAGATAGCAAACAAGTTTATGTTGTGTAACTACTTTTACTTCTTCTAATCTAAATAACCTGTTTTTTTTTTTGAAATTTCTAGAACACCTCTCTAAACATGTTTAATGTATTAGTTTTGAGACCACTTAGAAAGATTCCCTTAGTGTGTGACCCTGTTATGTGCATTTACAGAGGCTCCAAAGGGAAGAGCTTTCTTGTGGATCAGCTCTGTTTCTCTTTAGAATGGTAAGGCACCCTACCGAAGCTTTTGGTGCTAGCTAGCATGGTCTTCCACACAGGAGGAATATTTTTTTCACACACACACACACACATATATGGTTTCAAGTCTTTAAATCTAATTTGCAACTTGTAATTTTGCCACTGATGTGTAAATATGGTCACTAAAAGAGTTCAGTTTTTTGTTAAGTGCAGCAATACTGTCTGAGGGATGAATCCATATCCCATATAAATGATGTCTCTCCAACAAAGCAGTTGTCTAGGAAACTGGTGACTAGAAAATGGCAAGTTTGAGCAAAATTAGTCCCAAGGGCCTTAACTGAATCAGGTTTTTAACCAAAGTATTGGTGCTGGTTGAGATGTTTTTTGTGTGCAAGTAATAGAATACATCACTTAAGTATCTTAGCATTATTACACAAAATAAGAAGCCTGGAAGGTAAAGTGAAGACTACTGTAGCAATTCCAAGCATTATGTCTTTACCCAAGTATGACAGCAAAGGAAGGGTGTGGGGAGAGCCTGCCTTCTGCATCTTCTTATTTTTTTTTTTTTAAATCAGAGGGGAAAATCTTTCCTAGATGTCTCCCAAAGGATATCCTTCTGTTTCATTGGTCAGACTGGGTCATATAACCATTTCCATTAGGTATGAATGGGAAAGCCAATTGCAGCCACATTAGCAGACATCATGAACAAGAAGGGGTTAAATTTGTCCTCATCAGAAACAGATCCCTCAACCTAACATTTACAAAGGACTTTGCAGAGCTTTTCCACTTACCTTTTTCTCCTAATTTTCATGAACACACCTAGTGATGTAGACAGTTGGTACTGATGGTGGTGGAGCGGAGAAGGGAAAGAGTTGGTAACTAATAGCAACTGGGTAGTGACTATTGTGGATGGTTCTATCTACAGGTGAAGGGACTGAGGCTCTACAATGGAGCCCTGGGTTTAAGGTAACATGAGTAGAAAGCAGTGACACTTCAATACGGACCATATCTAATGATATCAAGGAGGGTGATACCCATTAGTACTGAGTGCTTATTATATGCCAGCCATTGTACTATGTTACTTTGCAGTGGTTACTTTAATTCTCAACCTTATGAAAAAGGTGGTACCTCTCTTTTATAGATAAGGAAATTGAGGCTCAAGGTCACACCTATAGTGAGTGAGGGTCTGTGATTAGAACTTCAGTTGGGCTGACAGCATGAGTACTTCCTTACTCTTTACTGCTTTCCCATTTGAATTCCCATATTCTTTGAGAACTACTGCCTCTGAGCTAAGCTTTTATGACTTAAGCTTCCTATTCTGTAAAATGAGATAATTCTACCTAATTTATAGGGCTCCCATGAGAAGTGAACGTGATAATCAATGAAAAGTAATTAACAAGGAGACACAGTAGGCTGGCATTAATATTGTGTAATTTATCTGACTATGTTGAAATGCTCAATTGTTTTTTACCTACCCTACTGGACTGCGAACATCCAGAATAGCAGTTCTCAAAATTTTGGGGTTCAAGGGCTCCCTTTACACTCTTAAGAATTATTGTGGACCCCCCAAAGTTTTTATGTTAAGTTATAACTCTCATTATTGCATTGAAATGGATACCGAGAAACGTCTGCCCCTTTGGCTCTCAGTGGTGATGCCCTACAGATTATGCAACCTCTGGAAAACTTCTAGGTATATTTGTGAGCACATGAACGTGAACAAGGAAAGAAAAAGGAATTATGAGGAAAGTAGTTTTGACTTTATTGGGACCCCACAGGGTATCAGAACTGCGGCTCCAGCTTAAGCACTTCGTGAAGGAACCATCGGATCCCGCCGTTTGGCTAAGAAAACGCAGGGTCTGAGAGGACTAAAAAACGAGAAGGCAGCGCGAAGCCGACATTTCACTCTCGCAGCATCGCCCCACGGCAGTTACACTTTCTTAGCCATCGCTTGTTCCTCGGCGTCACCGGAGTTCTTACCGGCGCGCGACCCTCAGGACTCACCGGCTCCGAGGCCCCTCCTCCCCTGCGCGCGCTCCTCCTGGCAACCTGCGTCCCGGGCACCCAGAGACAGGCTCCGCCCCGCCGCCTCGTTTCCGGGTCCGGGCTCCCATGGCAACCGCGGATCGCAGCCTCGGTGTCACCCCGCCCACCCGCCTAGTCAGGCTAAACCATTCGTTTCAGGGATCGCCACCGGGGGAGATGATGGAAACAGGGGGATTTCACAGACCGTCTATGCGCTACTCTGCTCCGGCTTTTTATACATAGTTTAAATTATACTCTTTTTTTTTCTCTTCATCTCGCTAACGGTCCCTGCGAGGGGTAGTGCCTCGTCTCGCCTGCCCGGTTCGAAGGCCCCCTCGGCCCAGGCAGGCACTTGGGCGGGCCCGCCAGGGAGGTTCGCGGTCTGCGCGGGTTGGCGCAGAGGCGGGTCCGCGCGTCTGACGTATGCGCTGTGGGGGCGGGACTGTGCGCCCGACGTAGCGCGGTGGGGGATGGGCCTGGGCTCAAGGGGCGGGGCGGCGGGCAAGATGGCGTTTGGCGAGTGATCTCCCCGGCTACCTCCAGCGGCCTCTGAGACACCGAGTCCTGTCCCCGCTGCCGGCCTTCCTCCTCTCCCCCGCCCCCGGAGATCCCTCTCTTTCCCTTCCTCCTTCTATTTCGCGGGGGTGGGGTCGGTGGGAGGGAGGGGAGGCGGGCCTCGTTCCTGGGACACCATGTCGGACTCTGAGGAGGAGAGCCTGGAACGGCAACTGAAAATCGTCGTGCTGGGGGACGGCACCTCCGGGAAGGTCAGTCCTCTGGTGCGCCCGCCGTGCCAGGCCTGCAAGAAATCCCGGCGCGGCCCCGGCGCCCTTCAAACCTCCTCCTCCTCCCCGTCCCCCCGGGCGTCGCCTTATTTCCGCGAGTGCCGGGGCGTCTGGGCTCAGGCCCACCAGGAGGTGGCTAGGGGCCCGACACAAATTAGATGCTTGAAGTCCGACGAGAGCTGTCCAGCTCCCTTAGGAAAAAAAAGAAGTCATTTCCTAATCCCTGCCTGGATCGCGAACTCCTACTTCTCTTCAAGACCTGAGCCAGCATCGCCTCCCTGGGAAGCTTTCCAGCTTCTCGCCTCTGAGGACTAGCAAGGATTTGCCAAAACATCTTACCTGTTTTTCCTTTAGTCCAGGTCACACTTGGCGCCTTCCCCCCACCCCATTTACCGTTTCTGATGCCTCCGCTGCACTGGGAGCTCCCAAGAACTTGATTCTTGAATCAGGCTCCCTGGGTGAGAGAATTGGGGCTCCCATCTCTTGGGTCACTGGAGGGCAAATTGCTCTCCCTATTTGTGCTTCATCTGTAGGATGGGTATGTTGATAGGGGTCGCTTCGGAGGGGTGAAGTGTGCGAATCCACAGGGAATGTAAACATCTATATGCAGCTTGCAGCACACGAAGTGCACGCAGTAAACGTTAGTCGCTGTCTTAGAGCACCATACCTGTTCATCTCTGTTCCCCAGCACAGCACCTGTCAACACAAACATTCATTCAATAAATATCTCTCGAGCTCTTCTTGTGGCCTGGGTGCTGAGGGCAGGGCTGTTGGCATGACAGATGGCATCCTTGCCTTAAAATCTGTCCTGTGATGACAGCTGATTGAAGTGAGTGCGAGAGCCAAGTCCCCTTTACCTCCGAGGCAGGGGTCTTTAACCCAGGGTTGTGGAGCTCCTGAAATGGAGTCAACATTGCCCGGTCCTTGCTCTTTGAAGACCATCCGTAAGATCTTGAAGGATTCTGGATCCGCCCCGCCCCCCAAAGAGCAGAGCCTCTGCCCAGGGAACCTTCACACCTGTCGCTTCTGTCAGTGGCGCCAACGCTGTCTCTGGTCATGCTGCTGAAGTTTGTCTCCTTTCTTCTCCCGTCCCTTTTCCCAACCAGAGGCTCCAGAAACGCAGGTTTATTATTGTTACCAGTGTTCAGTTTTCCACTCGATGTTTCCGTGTGCCTGGTGTAGTTTGGATGCTGGTTTCTGTGGTAACCACTGCTCAATACGTCTTCCCTTGGCAGTGGGCACTGCACAGCTGTTCGCCTCTTTCGTGCTGAGATTTCAGTTCCTAGGGAAAGGTGTCATTCATGGGCAGAATTTGGAGAATTCTGTTCATTTCTTGTCATTCGTGATACTTTGTTACTGATTTTTAGTCTTGAGAAACAATTCGATATGCTCTGATTACTGTTAAACATTTTCAGGAAGAAAAGAACTTGGGATTACTTTTCTTAGTCAAGTATTAATTATATTACTTTTTGTAAGTTTATAACAAGTTTTTGAGTGGATGAATTGTTTTAAATAAGTCAACATTGTTTCTAACACACTCAATAAAAACTCTAAGTTCTATTTTTATAGTTTTTCTCATCTGTATTTTCTTTTGAATGCCTTCTAATTTTTCACTTCCTAAATTTTTTTTATCGTCAACTCATGAAAGTTTATTTCCTGTTTAAAATGATAATGACTATAATACTAATACACCTCAAAAAAAGACAAATTGTCCATTATTCTATATTCTATCATAATTCTTTAAATTTTTGTTAATTTTTTCTCCCATTATTTATCTGTTATCATGCATGTATTTCTTAATTGAAATTTGTTCATAACTTTCTACCTAGGTTTTTCATCTAGCCTGTCATGTATTGTCCTCTTTTTGCTAATTTAGTGTGAATAATTATGACTTTTCGTATCTGTTTAAAATTCTGTCTAATGTGTGACAAAGTGTATTTTTTTCATTCTACATTATGGAATTAGGAATATTATTCTGCTCCAAAGGATATTGGTGTTCTTTTAATCTTTGTCATCTTGATTCATCTGTTTTAAAATTGTAAAGATTTTTTTCTGCCAGAAATTTCAGGATACCAGCATCAGACATCTTACCTTTTTTTTCCATTGTTCATATATATCAAGCTGCTATTTTTTCCCATGCCATATTCAGTTTTCAGATTATTGGCAGCTACCAACATTCCCATTCTGTTTCTTTTACTGTCTTTTTCTTTTATGATTTCAGCCTCTCTTTCATTCTTACTTGCATCCTGATTTAACTTCTGTCCATTTTTTCTAGCATCACTTTTTGTTTTTCTTGCTAGTTCTAATCAGGACATTTTTATACACCCTTACAAAAGCAATAGAGTGTTGCGATGACCACTAACAGTTTATGCAAGAGAAGTTTAGCACCTTCTTTCATTAACACATTTTTCTGTTTTTTTCCTGTTTTGATTCCTTTGATTCATACTTTGAGTTTTATTATATATTAAGATTTTTTTTGAGACAAAATATCCTTTTATGGTGTCTTTTCAGTATTAGTAAAGGTAGTATGTTTAAAAATTGTTAGCAAAAGTTGACCAGACCAAAAAAAAAAAAAAAAACTATAAAGAATCAGAAAAAGAGTTACAGATTTGATAGATGGTTGCTCACTTCATAATTGTTTAAGAAAGATATTTCTACAATGATTTCTGAGAAATTATCATATGAGACAGATAGCATAATATCTAGATAATTGGAGAGGAAGTGCCTCTTTCCCACTGATTCAGATGCTCCTCTTTCATTTTTGTAGTAAGATGTCTGGAGATGATGTAAGAACCCATTTTAATATTCATTGTTCCCAATGACCTACACTTTTGACAGATCATACTTTATTCCAATTGAAAATTCTAGTTTTATATGTCTCAAAAGTGTGAGGGTAGGGCTTTCAAAATCCAGAAGTCCTATTTTTAGGAAAAGAAACTCTGCTGAAGTTACATGTGCCTTGAATTTCTCTTAGACTTATGAAAGTGTTTCAACCATCCATATAGTAAACATTTTGAAATATCTGTAATAGTATAAGTAGTGTTAATTATTTTTCTTTAGAACCCTTAGCTTCTTCATAGATAGTTTTATGCTCTAAGTTAAATGAGTTCACTGGCATAAACAAGGCTAAATTAAAAAAGGCTTTAAAAAGGAATACTTACTTTTTTTTTCTTCTGATATCTCAGTTTTTATATTATCAAGGAAGCCAAATAAATTTTCATTTTGGTGTAGTAAGTTTATTTCTCAGAGTGTAGCAGAACATCTTTCTTATGGTGCTCAATATATATTTGACCAAATATTTTAGTAATTTCTTACAAATGCTGATTATTTAAATATTAAATGAATTGGAATTAGTGTGTGCAAATTGCCATTTATCTGAAAAATATGGTTCTTATGTCAAAGGAATTTTAGGAATTTTTGAAAGAAAGTTTGACCCAGTTCTCTTTTGCACTTATGTCATAATTATAATAAGCTATCTTGCAAATTTTAGGTTTCATTATTTTAGGAGTTGACATCTAATTTTACTTTTAAAATAAAAAAGGGTTATTTTTCTTTAACTTTGAGAATCTGTCTTGAAGAGCAGAAAAGCTTCATGATGTTCCGTTTCTCTTCTTTTAGGGAATGTTTACAAATAAATAGTGCATTACCAATGTTTAAGGAGCTTTTGAGTTATTTCACTAGAATGATTAATTATTTGTTTGCATTGGTAAGAAATGGTACTGTAAATAAACTCTAGAGTTTTGAATGTAACTTTGAATTATTATTTTACAAATGTAGATCTAGATTGAATAATTTTAAAAATGTAGATATATATTTGTTCTAGCTATAATATTCTTGAGACTGTTAAGCTTTCTAGTTCTTGAATGGAATATATTTATTTTTGCCTGCTTAATATTAATCTTAAAAACTTCAACTTCTTAATTTAAAAGATAAATATTATCAGTTCTATAGAATCATTTTCATTTACCGTTTTTAACACAGAGAAAAACTAGACACGTTTCTTAGGGGGAAAAAAGAAAATTGTATAAACAGGTTCTCCTTTCCTTAATTAGTTCTACTTCTTATTAGCTGAAGACACAAACTGCTCAGATGTTTGACCTCAGAAATGAAACATCTGTGAAAGTTGTGTTGAACTAATATATAGGGACATATAAGATTCAGATCTTTAATCATGTTGTTGTAGTTTTCTCTATTGATAAATAGAAATTCTAATTTCTAGCAAGGAATAGGAGGTTGACAGGAGATGTAAAGAGATTTAAAGAGATTTAGCTGATTAGTGTGTTGTTGCCACTGATAGCTGGTTGGCAAGTGAAATGTACCTGGTGGAATGAAAAGTCCCTCTTCCCCTTGTAATTGATTAGAACTGCTTAAAGTTACTTGTTGGTATAATCGGAGTATAAATATTAAGATTACTTAATAAGATATAGTAGTGATTTTGTTTACATTTCTAAAGCCAAAGACATTAATTTTGATATTCTGTGCATCAATTTTTTAGACCTCCTTAGTTACCTGTTTTGCTCAAGAAACTTTTGGGAAACAGTACAAACAAACTATGGGATTGGATTTCTTTTTGAAAAGAATAACATTGCCAGGTAAGAGACTAAAATGTCTTAACATAGAAAGTTGTTCATATCTGACGATAAGAGACACCAGCAGATATGTGTAACATTTGGGTACTGTTTCTTTGTGAAAATATATGTAATCAGTAAACGTGTCTTAGGGAGGTTCTTTCATCAGCATCTATCATGAAGACATACTGTCCATGTGTATAAGGAAAAAATTTATATACTCCCCACTCTACACTGTTTTTGACCATTGCACATTTTTTGAGGATAAACAATAGTTGCTTATAAAATTCCAACCTTAAAAACAAAATCAAATGCCATATAATTATCAACAGATATTGTATAAACTAAATGTGAGAGGACTGGAAAGGATTTTTTTTTAAATGTTATTTTGATTAGCCTCTGCTTCAGTTTTTTGTTTGAGAGAAAGTTGGAACAGAAGTATAATGTAGCTATGGAACTTCTGTGCTCTAATATGTGAATGCTGTTTTATGCAAGGCAGCATGAAATTGCTGGCATTTAATAGACCACTAAAATTTAGGGTCCCTAGGCACTCATAAAAATACAGTTTGAGCATTCAAGATGTTTCAGTTCACCATGCAAAGAAACTATTTAGATGCCAGTTGCAGCACATTTTGTGGGAAATACAGGGAAATAATAACAAAAAAAGAGTGGTTTCTGTTTTAAGTTAGTTTCTGAACAATTGGGGCTTTAAAATGCTCTGTCCATTCACTTGTGCTTAAATTATGTGTTTAAAGTATTTTATTAAAAGCAGTCTGTCTTGATTGAGTTCATAAACGAGTCCATCTCTCTCTCCTCTCTGAGGAAACACATTTGAATAAAAACAGTTGCAAGTGTAGTGTCAGATTCATATACTGGAACGTGAATGATATAGTGGGAAGGGGTTTAATAAATTCTAATATTATTGAAATATGTTAGTCTTTCAAATACTCCATCTATCAGACAACTCTATGAATGTTTTAGAACAGCTAATGAAAACGCTTGGTAATTGAAAGTATTCTGCATATCTCACTAGTAATATACTCTTATATTTTGATGGTTGTTACTTGAATACCAATGAAAAATAAATAAGAGGAAGATATAGCTTCAGAAAAGAATTCCAGTTATCCATTACTAAGTTATTGTTCAGAAAAAGGTTTAATGAGAAACATGTGTGTATTTTGTTTCATTTGTATTTTTGTATGTATTAAAAACTGAAAATCTTTTTATTATTAGCTTATGCATAGGTTAATGCTGATATGAATAGAATATTTACCCCAATCACTAGCAGAATACATGTAGAAATCAGATAATATATTTAGTGAAAACTTATTTTACAACAGTTTCTTCAGAGATGCCAGCTGTACACAGAGAACCTCAGTATGTATTTAATTACTATTTTGTTTCAGTGCTAGCTAGCAGAAGCACTTTCTGTATTATGAATATTGTTTAATTTTTCTGATTTTTCAGTTCAAAGACTTAAGTAAAGGAGCAAGCACCTATTCAGACATTAAAAACATTTTAAGGCTGATTCTAAACATTTTATATGTGTAATACATGTTTATGATTTCTAGTTCTTTGCACAATACCAACGAGTTTTGAATTTGGATGACTTTGTAAAAAGTATTTGTTATTTTTGAAATCCAAATTTATAATATATTTTAGAGTAGAAAGTACTTAGGTTAAAGAAGTGACACTAGGAAATGCATACTCTTATTGAATGTGTATTTTAATTTTCCTGATTAAGCTTTTATTTTGATGGGCAGAGTTCCAGAAAAAACTTTTTTTTATATAAAAGCAGTTGGTTTTATTCTGTTTAGTGGATTTAAAATTATTGTATAAATATTAGAAGGAAAAAGCTGTAGCTTGATTTGATATGAATAGGTGTATTAAGAAATAAGATGAATAAAGGCTTATAGTATACCCTTTGTATAGTTTAATTTAATTCATTGTGCCCAGTGATTAATATTTGAGTCATTTGCTGAATCATTATAGGCAGCATTATTAAACTGGTGGCATAGCAGCGCAGGAGGCAGATCTAGTATTTGTCAGTATTCTAGTGAGTCTTCTATCCGTTCAGATCGTTAGAGGCGTAATACCTCCTGTCCATCTATTGACATTCTCTTCATGCAAGTTTTCAAGGTCATTACTTTGCAAATACTCATCCATGTTAGTATATTTCATGATCTGGTATGCTGTATAGTCTGGATGCAACCACTGTGCAGATTTTACTGCTTAAAATAGTGTATCTGTTAGTCAGAGATTCTGCTGATAGAGCTTCTTAAGAGCGTTAGTCAAAATACTTTCAGGAAGCTTGTGGGTACAGTCCAGTAAACAGCGTTCTACTGTGAGAAGGATTTCTAAGTCTTTAGTACAAGAAGTGGGCAGACTTGTGTTTTTAGTTCCATCTTGACTGTGCAGCACTTTAAGTAAGGTTAACCAAGGCACCAAGTGTCCTTTTACAAGGTCACTGTCGAATCCTCTTGGTGGCTTTGATGCGTACCAAAAGCAACTTACCTGTATTTTGTCACCTCATTTATATTTTTCTCTAGTTAAATGTCATTTCTTACAGAGGAGCAGGAGTAGTATTTTGCATTTAGGATTAGATTGCTGACAGTTTCCTCCTTAACATTCTTTATTAGTTAGAAATTTATTTTAATGGATTCTTGGTTTTTAAAATTTTTGCAATGTTGATTATTTGAAAATTCTTACATAGTTTTATAGGTTTGTCATTTTGAAAATACACTAGAAGACTTCATATGTTTTTGCTTTTTAGAACTAAAGGTAATATTAGTTTGAATTCTGTATTATTTTGTTTCCCAAATAGGAGGAACTCTGATTTATTTTTATGTGTTAATAAGCCTAAAATTCAAATGTGGAAGCTGAAAATACATTTCTAGATACATGAAATAACCATGAAGTTAATATCATTTGTTGAAGCTGTAACAAGAAGAGTTGTTTGTTTTTTGGTTAGCATTGTATATTAGTGGGTTATTAGTAATACACAGCTATTTTTATCTGAGGCACTAGAATGTGTATATTAAAGAAAAACAAGCCAAGAACAACAAATAATGTTTATTTGGAAAGGTATGGATTTAGCAAATATTCCCTCAATGCAGGAATACAAGTCTTGAAATTATGTTGTCAGAATTTGAAAGTATGTATTAAGGATGATATTTCTAAAGTTATAGATAGGATAGGGTCTAAATATCAGAATGTAAAGGAAAAAAGCTTCATATTTCTTGATATGAAGTTAAGTTTATTGACCTTGAAGAAAACGGTATTAAATGCCCTTTATTGAGTGCTGCCTAAAAGCTTTAAAAAGTTAACACTGTTGAGGATTGGTTTTTGAAGTAAACATAACTAAAGAGTTTTGTTAGTAAAATGAATAGAGTACTGCCTGTTTATCTAGAGGCTCCTAAAACTATATGACATTCTTCTAGTGTCAACCAGCCCTTTCTCCCCTGCTTAATTTGAGACAGCATTGTAGGACAGTGAATTTTGAATTTAGATTTCTTAATTTTCTAGAACTTAATTTTCTTAATTAAATTTAGATTTTTAAGATACTGGCTTTATACAAGTTGTTGGGTGAGTCTTTTTCTGTGACGTTTTGGGTTTTGTATTTGTAGAGCTCTAAGAACACTTCAGTCATTACTCTGTGAGCGTTGAAAGTGTGTATATGTGGGAAAGATGACGGGTGATAAACTTCAGTAGCTCTCATTAATGCTAATGGAAGTTCCTCATGTAAATCCTGCAGGTTGGCAGATGGAACAGAACTACATCCAGATAATGGAAAGATTGTAATACAGACCCTACAAAACTTAGAGTTAAGGGTAAAAGTTGATTGGTTAATCTAGTGTTGTACTTTCTTTCCAGTTGCTAAGTTGAATGGTGTGACTAATGTTCTTCAATTTTAGTGTTTTGCATTGGTATAAAAATTCACATCTGTATAACATTTTTGGTTTGTTCTTGAAGTGAGACTGGTCTTTTAGTGTCTAAGATTTTGAGTTTTCCTGATTTGCAAATCATTCAGAAAGATAACATTTTTGGTGTGGGAGCTCATTTTGAAGGTGCTGATTGAGATTCTGTCCACCTTTGGAGAAAACAGCATAGTTTTATTAGGAGAAACAGTCTGAAATGTTAAATTACAAAGCATATTGAACTTGGTCTTTAAATTTTATTGTTTAGTCACTAATTGCATTGATAATAGAGAAAAACGTCTTATAAATTTTTTATCAAGTAAATATTTTGCAAAATGGACAAAAGAATTTTAAAGATTGCCTTTTAGTAATTTAGAATGCTTTTATAATGTTTGTATGGGGAAGAGATTTGTTAAATCATCAAATAGATTTGCTCTATTTTATGAGTTCTTTGAAGCACATATTATAATTAGTTTCATGGAATGCTTTGAACAGATATAAATGCATCATAATAATTTGTGATATCCTGGGTATATATCCTACATCAGTTCTGAATATGGCTGTCAAAATGTTTATATTTTCTAAGTTAAATTTGAAAACATGTAATTTTAAAATTATGTTCACTATTGTATATAGTAGCTGAACCTCAAATTTAAAACTTCATTCGCATTGAAACCTTGAGGCCATTTTTGTAGTCTGTTGGTAACTTGTGAGTTTTATTTAGAACCTGTAGAGTTTAGAAGTTACAGCAAAATTCAGAATGCAATAAGGTAAAGTTCAATTTTAATTTTTAAATTATATATCTTACTCCACATTCAACTGCTTTATTGTTTTAGTCTCTGTATAAAAAAAAACATTTTAAGGCTTAAGACGTTTGTGAATTAAAACTTTATGTATTTTCTTTTGTTTTGAAGGTGATTATAAATGTGGTTGCATGGAACTGGGGTAAAGTGTAAACCTAAATTCCCCACTACTCATCTCTTTTGACAGCATTGTTTCACAATTCCAATTATGTGAACATGCAGAATAAACATGCACATTAGGTTCAGAGTTTATCACTGTGACTTAATGTTCTGTGAAACTGTATTCAGTTGTTATATTGTTCCTGTTTTTCTTATTTTTATATTCTGTTTTGTATTCTAGGAAGCTTGAATGTTACTCTTCAAGTCTGGGACATAGGAGGGCAGACAATAGGAGGCAAGATGTTGGATAAATATATCTATGGGGCACAGGTATGAAATTAATTCTATGATTATTCCGATACTGAATATACTCCCCTTACAAGCACATAGGCAGGTACATACACACACATATGCTCTTTCTACCTTGATTTTTATATCATATGTAGGGAGACTGATTTTACATTTGTTGATTTCATCCTCCCCCAAAGTCGTGTTTAGAATGATTTGGGTCAGGGAACTGGGTAAATCTTAATAGCTTTCATATGCTACTTGTATTACTAATATTACTGTCAGAAGTTTAATATATGTAGTAATAAATGATATTTTGATATTTAGTAACTGGTTTTGGTCATAGTCACCACTTACAGAATATATGAATTGAATGAAAATTATTAGAGAGGAAAATTTAATTTCATTTTAAATTGTAAGGACAAAAAGCATATATATGTATATATTTTCTGTGCTATGAATTAGTTTATTAAATATTTATAAGTGTTCAAATTTAATAGATATATAGTATCAGAAAACTAAGTATAACATTATATATATGAAGCACATACAGTTTTTTAACATGATAGTCATGTGTAGTGTCTTTTCAGAAGAAAGTCTGAGTAGAGTAAGAAAAACTACCTGAATAATTATATAACAAAAATTCTTTGGCAACATGAGCTTATATAGTTATATAGATTTTAAAATTAAATTATGCTAATAGAAAATATACATAGTAGTAATTAATGTACTTAATTACTGACATGCTGTTTTTCTTACTTTTTCCTCCACTTTGAGTTAGTTTGTATCTTTCATGTCATCATGAGGTATTGGGGGTAATAATAGTCATGATTCTCATTTAGTTCTTTGTTGGAGGTGATGCTTTAAGGGGAGAATCATAACTTGGTTATGTGGAACTGTGTTGCTCATAAAAAAAATCTAGAAAATGAAGGCAGAGTATTAAGCACTCTTCTATATGAAGTTTGATGCTTAACAAATACCATTGCCTTCATTTTGGATGGAAAATAGATTCTGAGTTATTTTCTAAAATATGCAGAGAAGGCTGAGGCTCACATGGTTCTTGATCATGTCTGAAGGCCCTCAAGCTGTGTGCTTGCATTGCTGATACATAGATTAGGCTTTTAGGGCTCCTCTTCACCTTTTCTTCTACATGTTCTTTGTCTCCTGAAAGAAGTTTCACCTGTGACCATATGACAGTATTTTATGCCTGTTCATTTTCCTCTTAAAAAATATGTCTCAAGTTTTTGTGTCTGGCTTTTTTATTGTTGTTTCTTTCTGTTTTAAACTGATTATGCTTAAAGTAGATAGTAAGGTAAAGAAAAATTATTGGGCAGAGGTTTGTCGAAAGCCACAGTCCTTGTTTCATTCACCTAGTTGGTAAAATAGGATTTGAAAATGACAGTTTCTTTTCTCTTTGCTCCATTAAAATCTATCTACATGGATACATATTTGATTTAAAAAAATGAGAACTAGATTAGTCAAGCTTCTAATGATATTTGACTCTGAATGTAAAATAGAATAACTTTTTATGGTTCATAGATATATCTAGAATTAGTGGTGAATTGGAAATTTTTAATACATCTTAGAGTAAATAATATAACATTCAATTAATACATTTTTTTTCATTTAAAAATTAGGGGAATATAATGTGTGTGGATTAGACTCTCTTAATTTTACCTTACTCCACATCACTTAAAAATTTGATATATTTAGTGTAGGTTAAAACAAAATTTATCAAATTTGTTATTTGATTTATAGGAATTTAAAGTTTATTAATATTATAAAATTATTATATAAAATTAATATTGGTATGAAATTCATATAGTATAAAAACAAACATTTTCAAAGTGTATAATCAGTGATATTTAGTACATTTACAATGCTGTGTGACCATCCCCTCAAATCTTTATAGTTCTTTACAGTGTGTGTTTTATGCTATTATGTAGCTGCTTAAAGTCAGCAGACATTAATGGGCAAATTTATAGAAATTTTAAAAACTGCCATTATCTTTGAGAATAGTTGAGTTTAGTAAAAATGTCTGTATTCATTTCTAATGTAATTCATATTTTGGGAGAAAGCGCATGTCACATGAGATTTCTATTTTGAAGGTACTTGTTGATTTTCCTTTTTGACAGTGTCTTACATTGTTTATATATTATAATCTCTGTAAAGCATATACCTTGGTTTATTAAAACAATGCAGTAAAGTATTTCTAGGAAGTACATGAACATTTTCATGAAATCATTCCAGGAAAGTAGGAATTCTGAGATGATAAAATGAATTGTCATCAATTTTTTCTGGTTTCCAGAGATTCTAAGTTAAATGCTATGTAAAAATGCAATAAAGTACAGTAGCTTCTTTTGTTAAAATATATATAAACTTTGTCACCCAGACCAGAGAAGCTCTGACTACAGTTTTCTACTATAAATTGGGGGAAATGTTACTTTTAAAAACAATGCTTTCATAAACATTTTAATAGTGTTTAATAATGTTATATAATTATATAACTATTCTTCAAAGTAGATTTGTGTCTAGAATCATTGTAGATGCTGTATATTGCCCATCTAATGAATACTTCAGATTTTTGTGCACATGCTATAGGGTAGAAATCTTTGAGAAATGTTTTGACAAGCTGTTTTGAGGACATCAGTATAATGTATTATTTAGGGTTTTGTTCTAGGTTCTGTAACTTATGTGTATGGAAAGAATTATACATAATTGGGCTACTATGCTATGAATCTGTATTTTTTTTAAAGCATTTCTTATCATCCAGGAAGAAGATTATTTGTAGGCTAGGAATTAACTTAGAGTCAAATCAAACTGATTGTTTTACCTTCTTCACTTTTTACCGTCTTTACTTTTTCTCAACCAGTAGCACTGAATTTTAGTGATAGTGTATTGAATAGTGTTGGTTAAAACAAAATCGAATTGATACCCGAGAAAGAACTCGTGAGGTATTTTGTCAAAAACTAGTTCTAAGAATTGAAGTGTGTCCCAGTTAAACTCCCTGATTTTAAATTAACTTAAAATTTTCTAGGAGTCGTCAGAAAGATATTATAGGCTATTTTTCATAGTGGTTGCAAGCAAACACACAGCACATAGTGTTTAGTGCCCTGTAACCTGTGGCTAACAGAGGCTAATAACAAACCTCAGAGAAGGACTGGGTGTTTCGTTTTTGTAGCTCTTTCCGCCCTGGAATCTAAGTGGTTTGCAAACACTGCTCTACTGAGTATAAACTCAATGAAGTGTAGTCATTTGTGAGGTAGAACATAACTACTATTGTGTGCCAGTGCCCCACGCAGATGAGCCACCTTGTTAACCACCAGCAGAAGTAGATGGTGCTTGTATGACAGCTGGGGAGACAGGAGATCTCGAAGTTGGACTCCCTGAGATTCTGCTATCTTTTGCTTTGAATTTTGTTTTAGTTGGATGTTTGCCAACTTGTAACTGATTATATTTACAGTCCTCTCGCATTAGTGTTCCTTCTTACAGGTTGTACTTGTACAGTAAAATATATGTTGTTATGACTAGTATAATCTATATGATTTAACTCATTTCTATATTTAATTAAAATCTAAAGTAGATTATTTGTTGTACAAATAAGCAAGAAAAAATACCTGCATTTTGGGAGTGAGGAACTTTTCACTAAGTTGTGTATATTGTATCTATTGAATTTTAGAACTGAGTTTTAAAATACCTTATAATACTGTTAAGTGCTGCCACAGTGTTTGTTGCTTCAAGTCTGCTATTGGCTATCCCTTTGAGAATGGCGTCCATTTGATCCACTGACTCATCATACTGATTTGGTACAGTGATAAGCGAAGCAGATGGAAACAAAGTGCTAGCTAGTATTATGGTAGTTGTCCACTAGAAGTCTTAAGGTTTATAAAGAGAAGAGGTTTTTGTTTTTTTTTTGACAATGGTGAAGTTAAGGTAGAGGAAAATAGAGGAAATTTTTATGGAGAGTTTATTAAGATGTAGAAGGATTGCTTAAACTTAAAGAGTCTGATTTCCTAAAGTCATGGCAGAAAGATTTGGAAAGAGGAGCATTTGGAGGGTCAGTTAGGAAGAGGAAGCACAGGGCAGGATAAGGATGAAGACATACATAGCAGAAGGATCAGTGGTGGATAGATATTTGATAGAAGAGAGTATCAGGGACATGAGACATGGTGGTGGGTTTAGATGGCTGCAAGGTTGCCAAGAGACAGTTATTTCCAGCAGTTCCCTGGAGATTCTTTTCAGACTTCAGTTGTTGCCGAAATGTGTTGCATTTCCGAGGGAGTTGTACTTTCTGATAGTTTTCTGGAAAAAGGCTGGATTGATTGATGTGGTGAGAGACTCGGGGCTTTGAGGTGCTTGTATTATAGGCTCCCAAAGAGGTGAGTACTTAGAGGTCTGGCTTTGGTGTGCTGAAGCTGGTGGGTAGAAGCTCTGGGAGTCTGTGGCAGCTTGTATGAGTTTTGGCAGTTTGTGTGTTTCAAAGAATTGGTTCATTTCATCTGTGTTTTCAAATTTTTGGCCATGAAGTTGTTCATATTATTCCTTCATTATTCTTTTAATGTCTATGGGAATCAGCCATGATCCCTCATTGATTTGTGTCTCTTTCTCAATCTCTCTCTCTCTCTTTTTGGTTAGCCTGGCTAGAGGTTATCAGCTTTTGCTTTTGTTAATTTTCTCTATTGTTTTCATCTTTTCAATTTCATTGATCTCTGCTCTAATTTTTATTATTTTTTCTTCAGTTTGCACTGTTTAAATTCCTCTTTTCTCTTAGTTTCCTAAAGTGGAAGCTTAGATTTTTGATGTTTCTTCTCGTGATATATATATCACAAGATATATATATATATATATATATATATATCTCACAAGATATATGTATCACATTCAGTGCTCTATATTTTCTTCTAAGCACTGTTTTTGCTGTATCTTCAAGTTTTGATAGGTTATATTTTATGTAAGATATTTTAAGCATCTCCTGGGACTTCTTTTTTTTGACCCATGTGTTATTTAAAAGTATGTTTAATTTCCAAATATTTTGAGTTTTC